ATATATACATATAAATATATATATATATATACTGTATAGTTAACATTTGTGCTTGGAAAGAAATTTTTTCAGTCCACAAAACTAGCAATATAGACTTTACAAGGAATTCCACTTACTTGATAGGACAGTATAATAGATGAATAGCATATGAAAGAGTAGACCAAAACCAGTAAACGTTAGAAACAAATTTCAGACATTTCAGTATTTTCATGACAAGTCCTCTGGGCTTGCTAAGATTTCTAAGCAATCATTACTAAATGTGCCAAGTAACATAGCATTTAAATGTTGTAGTCAAATACTGCTTTGTATGAATCCTTATTTTATTAACACGATGATATCATACGTAATCAGTATTATAACTGCTCTGCTATTTCAGGTAAGCAAACTCGTTAAGATGCAGTAATTCTACCGTAGCAATGTAGGGTGGCCACTTCCCATGGTCATCTCCAGGCATTGGTCACACAAATTCTTAGACACTTTAAAGGCTGTGATAACTGTGAACTTACATGATCCACATTTCTTTTGTATGCATTTGGATTCAACAACCAGACGTGAAGAGTCACAACAGGTGCATGTACACACTGCAAAAACATTCATCTCAAACATGAAAATGGCAAACTTCCATCCTTCTCAGCTACTTGGTTTCCTGTTTACCATGATTTCTCATTTTTACCCCCAATGAAGCTGAATTCTAGTCAGTGTTTCCAGGCGGAAGTGCTCGAAAACTTGAAGGTTTGTTTTAGAATTTAGTATAGGGTTTTTATATATATATATGAAAAAAAGATCTGTAATTCCATGTAGCCATGTGCTAGCAACAAAGTGGCTTTACCATTTTTACTCATTGCATTCGTTAGTTTGAAGCACCCAGCACTCAGCAGGCTGAGTTTCTGCTCAAACCCTCACGTTCATAGTCCAGTTAGCTGCAAGACATCACATAAAAATAGGCTGTGCTGCTGTTGCTTATGTGTTTTAACCAAACCATTTGCAAATTTATATACAATTTTTATCCCAAAATTCTGTACAAAGTTATACATGGCGCCTACTTTGTAGTTTCAGCACTTTGAGCCACTGCAAGGACTTTACACCTAAACAGTAGAGACAAAGGAATCACAACTGCAAAACTGTACCAGCCTAAAAGCAAACCTTGAAGAGGATGAGCAAAAAGTTCCAGTAAGAGATGGGTAAAAGTAATCACAGCAACAAGCAGTCGGTTTTCTGTTTAACAGTAACAGAGTTGTCAGAAGTGATGAGGACTTGAGAACACAGAGCGACTTCTCAGACTGGCTTGCTCATGGCATCTCTGACATTGGCGGGGGGAGAGGTTCAGTAATTTTTTTCCCTTTCATACCATTGATATCAATACCAGCAAAACTGCAAACTGAGCACTTTGTCGACCTCCACAGAGAGCAAATACAGCAATCTAGAGTTTAGCCTTTTGTTTCAAGCTGTCCACGTTTGTTTCACACATGTGCAATACGTTTTCCCCTTCTGCTCCTTCTCCTCTGAATGATCTTCATGAGCAGAAAACAAGTCGTTATTGTTTTTATGTATCACTCATACTATTCTAAATTCTGCGGCTTACCTTGAGAGGGCTCCTGCGGGTCCCCTGAGGCTCTGTTCCTTGCAGTTTTAAAAATGTATACTGTTCTTATAAGGGAAAGTAGAACTGTCTGCATGTCATCTAATGTTACTAGTGTGAGGCTACACTCTACATATTGTATATTTGCAAAATATATCAGTGTTACTCTTGATATTAGTTGAAGTAAAGTGATAACATATTTCAATATGTAGACTTTTCTTCATACATCTGTACCAATAGTAAAGTCTAACTGTAATTTATAGGTTGTTCCAGAAAAGATAAAGAACCATTCAGGTCCAAACATCTCTCAGAAACTGCATCTTTTAATTAAAACAGAGGTAAGAATGCTCCTCTTCACTGAGTGACGGAGTCTGTACTTGTGTCAGATGCAGAGTCATAATGTAAGTAAGACTGTGTATGGAATAAAGGTAGAATATGCAGTAATAGTGGAGAAGAAAATCTGACTCTAGCTGTGTGCATTAACAGTGAAGAGCTTAAAGCTCCCAGATCTGCATTTGCTTTATGTTTACAAACCCCTTTCATTCATTTAAATTAGAGTTACATATAAATATCCTGTACTGAAACAGTAAGCCACATTTTAATGCTTGACCACTGATTTTCCATGTGCAATCAATTAAATAGTCAGGAGATGTCACAAATGTGCATGCAAAGAAACATTTACACATGGTTTCACATACACGTGGGGAAAGAATGTGCCTACCGGTGCATTGAGCTGCACGTGTGAGATCCCAGATCATCTGGAGGCTGACTTGCAAACCAAAACTGGTCACATAAGAGCACAGTATTTGTAAACTCTGTTCTTTCAAGTCAAAGAGGAGAAACAGTGGACTGGATTTTTTTTCTAGTTTTGTTCTGTTTTGGTTTTTTAGACTATGTGTTTATATGTACTTTAACCAAACAAACATCATTGAGCTGCACGTGTGAGATCCCAGATCATCTGGAGGCTGACTTGCAAACCAAAACTGGTCACATAAGAGCACAGTATTTGTAAACTCTGTTCTTTCAAGTCAAAGAGGAGAAACAGTGGACTGGATTTTTTTTCTAGTTTTGTTCTGTTTTGGTTTTTTAGACTATGTGTTTATATGTACTTTAACCAAACAAACATGTCTTGGTGTCAGCATAAGTCTTAAGAACTTTGCTGCTTGTTTAGGGCTGTAGTATAACCTCTCTGACTCCGTCCTTGATTAACAGTTGCTTAGAGCAGTGTGGGTCATGCCTAGAATAGGAAAATGATAGTACTTAACACTGTGTGGGGTTAGGAAGATGAATTTTTCAGCCTGCAGGCAGGAGTAGAATTGAGAGGGTTTTTTCTCAGATGCCATTGCCAATTAAAACCTGGTACAGAACTGCGCAGAGTGACCGTGGTTGTCTCTCCCCATAAACGATGTGGCAAAGTAGTAATGCTGATTTGAAAAAATGAAAGGGAAATGTAAAGAATGAAGGTGTGGCAACAGAAATCTTTTCTGGGACAACAATCAAATATATATTTGGGGGTTTTATTTTTTTAAGTTAAGAATGAAATGTAAAACAATGTAAAAACAAAAAACAAAGTTCATCCTAATATAATGTGCGTCTTGTATTGCTAAAAAACAAGTCTAACATACGGTGTAGAATGATTTTCCCATCATGTACTGCATGCAGCAGAAGCCTCTTGTTTCTTGATAAAATGAGCTGAAAGACAGTCAGCAGATATTTAAACACTGAATCTCTAGATGTTGACTTGCTGTTCCATATGAAGCTGTGTGTTTTCTGCAGTTAAGCATGCATTTTGCTGTTCCCTTGTAAGATACCATCGCACTTCTTGCCTGCAAAATGGATTATTGTGTATATATTTCAAAGAAAAGTGGAACCAATAACAAGATTAAATTTGGAAAAGAGAAAAGGGGGTGGTGAAAACGGGACCAGTAGGGGGAATAGAGAATTCTCTAAATTGTACATAGTGTGTAAATTAGCATTACTCTAAGTCTGCAGTCACTCTGAGGTTGCCTATCTCCTGCTAGGAACTTAAATCAGCTTTGAGTTGTATTAAACTGTTAGAATTAGGTCTTGAATGCAGACTGTTAAAGACTTCAAAAAACATATGCTTACAAGAAGCTTCTGTTCTGGGGAGGCTTGAGACCCCTTTTGTAACTCTGGGGAAGAAAGGAGTGCTTTCATTTTAATATGCATTCTGTTTGTAAGTAGTAACAGACCCTATTGATGTACAACTATAACTGTGATCATGTGGAGAAATCAAATAAATCATTTAAAACTCCTTGTTTCTCATTTTGTGTAATCCAAGAACTTCAGCTCTTCAGATTTGAAATGAAGGAATTTCCTTCCAGTGGTATCCTGGCCCCGCTGAGGCAATGGGATTTTGGTTGCTCACTTTAAAGGGGCCAGGAGTTCAGTCTTCATCTGAAAGATAAGGTGGTGGAAATGGTGGTCAGTTCTGTGGAGACTGTGAGGGATTCTCATAGGCTTTGATTTGTTCGGTGGTGCTGTAAATATATTTAAGTCTTAAGGATGATAAAGAGCAATAAATACAAGACCCAGATCTGCAGACAGTGATGTAACACTGCAGAGGCTCTGGTGTCCTATTTACCAAAACACTAATGTTGGAAAATGATCACCAGATGTTGAACCTTCTGAAACATGAGCTGTCCAGCATGTTCACCTGGCCCTGTTCATCTTCTGGCTGTCACGTTGCCTCAGGAGCTCATGTCCAGAGGACTGTCTGCCCTTGAGTGGAGTGGTGTCTGTCCTTCCTGGGGACACAGTCCTTCATTCCTGCAGTGACTGACACTCCTGGGCTGCAGCTCCAAGAGACACTGTGCTTTGAGTGCCCACTGGCAGGGAACCCTCAGACCTCAGAGTGGTGTGGCTGAGTAAGTACCACCCTGTTACTACCTGTCCTGTGGATTTGTTGTGTCTCACTCTGCAGCACAGAAGGATTACTGCACTGACATCCTTGCCAGGCTTGGCCCTCACAGTATTTGACACCACACCTGCAGGTACTTTAGATAACAGCTCCGTTGTGTTCTCATTTGTGTGCATTTCCTAGGTGTCAAGGGGATTGTAGTGTATCTGTAAAGCCTGTTAAAGCTAATGCTTAGCTATCAGTTAAAACTAAATACTGTGTTTGCTTCTGTTTTCTATGAATTTTAGGAGATTGTTGAATTATTTTGTGGGAGTAGTCTGCTATGATCTATTTCTGAACGGCTGTAATGTCAGGATGTTTAGATAGGTAAGTACCAATTTATCACCAGATATACCCACTGCACCACCCTCTGAGCTGTGCCACCCTCTAGAAGGTGAACAGTGCCTCACAGCAACATTTGTAGTGCAAGTAGAAGAATCTGCTGTGCTGTTTCTTTATTCCTGTTTCAGAAATAATGATGTTAGGAATTTTGATACATTACATTTTGAGAAGGCAAAGAGTCTTTCTTCTCTATTTTGGCTCAGAGAGGCTGTAAATGCTGTTATAAATCTGGCTGCTTTTTCCTGATCCATTTTAGAAGTAGGACCTAAATAATATGTCTAAATTCTGCTTCTTCCTACGTAAACTAAGACTAGGTTGAAACCATTTATGATCTGGCACTACTACATGTCCCTCCCCGTGGCAGGGAGTTGGAAGGTGTTCAAGGCCAGGCTGGATGAGGCCTTGAGCACCCTGGTCTGGTGGGAGGGGTCCCTACCCAGGGCAGGGGCTGGGGACTGGATGATCTGTGAGGTCCATTCCAACCCCTAAAATTCTATGATTCCATGAATCTTTAGGGTCCCTTCCAACCCAAACCATTCTATGATTCTGTGATACTGAAGAAAAACAAATAGCCAAAGGAACCACAGCAGCAGTTCTGGTTTGTGTGATAGGTTTACACTGGTTGCAGTAATGCCAAGAAACTTAATTTAAAAAATTCAATGTAGGTTCAACCTGTGATAGTTTAATAGCTCACAGTTGATTTTTTTTTAAAATTATAATATCCTTATTTGTTTGAGATGCTTCTCCTCATGGAGTTGCATTCCTTAAGTCTCTGATGAAGCTTGGATGCACACCCCTAATGAAACATACCTTCATTTAACAAGACAATATATTGTCTTCTTGCTGGGGGTGGGGAATCTCACGCTCAGAGTAAGAAAAAGGACAAGGTTTTCAGTCCTAAATTAACTGAAAATCACATCTTTTACAAGTCAGAACTCTAATGTTTGAAAATGTTCCCTAAATTCTGTCCTGTGTTTGTGCCTTTCAAATGTTTGTGTGCATGTACCAGTACATACACAGATTGCACGAGTGAGTTGTCATGCCATAAGCAACTTCTAGCTCTTCTAGACAGCAGGTTTTTAAGAGGAGGGTCTTTTCCAGGTATTTCCTGTGTTATTTTGGTTGAAATAAATGCAATATTTAAATGACAGGAAAACAAACTAAACCTCAAATGTTCTATCCATCTCTCTCTTCAGATTTTTGTTGACTTAACAATCAATTAATTCTATTTAACTTTGTTTCTTCCAGTTGGCCTTAATGGTTGACTTTCATTCAGAGTTTCATAAAAACAGGTGTAGTAGCATTTTACCATAGATTTATTTGGAGTATCTTCCAAATACATTATATAAAACAGTTGTGTGATGTTTTATTCACTAGCTACACCCTGTGCAGGGGGGAGATTTGGGAGCCCCAGCTATGTGTAAGTTCGAGGGTATTGCAGGCCCTGATCACACCGAGCCCAGAGTATCTTCCATGCACGGATGCTTATCCCTCAGCATTTTTGATGGAGCTTGGAAAATTGAGCCAACTTCTACATTTTTTCCTGCAGTCATTAAAACAACTGTCACAAGGTATCAGAATTATGACGCTGTTACGATTGCATGATTAAATCCTATTTCAGCAGTTGTATGCACTGCCAAATGCACAATGTGTTAGTTGTATAAGATGAGCTTAGATGTACTTAGAGTAACATGCCACAATACATCTGGATTGGTATTAGAGCTGCATTAAATACACCTTTTACAAAAGGAAGCATACAGGATTTTTGCCCAGCTTACTACCCTCTTAGGGATTCTCGCTGCTGTATTTTGTTGACATCAATTTCCTAGAAGAGAACATAGCACAGCTAACCTGAATATCTAAATCATACAAATGCTTCATTTTAGGTGTATTTTTTAGCAGATGTTCTTTTTGTTTCTATTATTACAAGAATTAAAGCCAAATCCCATCTTTCCCAGGAAAACTAAATCAACTGCAGGATAAAGGCTGATCATGAAAGTTAGGAAATGCCCCCATTGAGATCTCTGCTTGGAGTACTTCCTCAGCTAAACAAGACATTAATAAAAGTTGTGTGGGTGCTGCTGACTTGAACCCATCACTTCTTTTTCAACTGGTTAGATTTATTCTTTTTCCCATGTGTGTAAATGTATATGTTTAGGAATAAAATGATATGGAAAAAATCCCCTTAATTCAACGTTTTTGCAGTAACTGAGATGTGAAATTAGCATCATGGCTCACGAGATACAGCCAGCTCAAACCAACCACACAAGCAGAGGGTTTATCAGCTCTGTTGGGAAATGACACACACAACTTCAGCTTTCATTTATTCCTTCATGTTTAGAAGCAATTTAAACAGGTCTGTGTAATGAGCAAGGAAAAATAATCTGTCTTTAATAAAATGAGTAGGGGCAATTAATTCTAACACAAATGGCTGCACAGCTGAAAATGCTTTTTCTCTACAGCTTCTCCTTCTGCTACAAAACCAGACATTACTGAGTGTTTAACCAGGAAATGGCCTTTGGTTTTGTGTCCAGGGAAATGGCAAACGTGAGGACAGCGCAGGTGTTCTGGGTTAGAGGCTGTGATTCAGCAAGGGCATCACAGCAACCTAAGGCTGGAAATTAATTCATTTAGTCATTACCATTATGGTTTTATAATGAGGAAGCAATCTGACTTTCAGACACGGAGCTTCACATTTGGATGCAGGTGGACTGAGTCTGTGCAGCCTCCCTTTTGTGCATGATCCCTGGGCAGGAACACGCGGAGCAGTGGTGTCCCCAGGCACAGCTGAGCTGTGGGGCAGCCCAGGGAGCAGGGGAGAGGACATGGAGCCTCTTGTGAGTGCAGGAAAGCAAATGCTGCACTGGGGGTGAGGGAGGAGGGAAGGGCTCGTGCCGAATGCATGACCATGGTCTGTCCACACTCATGAAGTGAGGTACCACCCTGTGAGCATTTTCCTCCTCGTCATATGCTCTTGGCTGATAATTTTTTCATTTTACTGGCTAATATTTCTTCAGATCCATCTCCAACAACAAAAAGAACATTTTTATTTAATGATTCATCCTATATATTGTCTTTGATGTCTTTCTGGTAGTCCTACATCTCCTCTTCTGCCACAGCCCTTACACCAGGCTCAAAAAATGCCTATGCTGTAATTACAAATAACACCTTAAAAAAAACCCAAAACCAAACACACACAGCCCTGCAATCCCCATAGTTTGAAATACTTCTGTTGTCCTTCAACACTTGAATTTGGAAGAGCAGCGACATTTTCCAGCCTGATGAGAAATGTGTGCTGAGTATTCTAAGCAGGACTTGAAGCATCCCAGGTGTTTATAGCCTAGAATTTTCACAACATTACAGTAAGTTTTAAAAATGGCTTTGATTATGTGCTAACTCCTCTTCTACACAAGTCTGTGCATTCTCAAAATGGTTTGCAAGTGTATTTTGTACCTAAAGGTGGAGGAAACATGGTTTCTTCTCTTCCCAATTCTTTTTCTACTCCCGCAACATTTGGATTTCTGGGCTATTGCAAGATTTCATGACCCTTCATGCAATAAATGTGTTTGTATATTAGCAATGCATCACAGGGGACATATCCTGAACAATTCCTCTGACTGATTTGAAACAACTTGAAGAAATAGCTGGTGAAAAAGCACTTGCATTTTAGGTCATCTGTTTCTCTTTCCATATGTGAAAGAGGAGAAACAGATGCCTCATCTGGGATGAAGCAAATTGCTAGACAAAAACATTATTAATAAAGTGTTCCTGAGCTCAGGGAGCTCCTTCTTTCTCTCCAACATTAGGGCTTAAGAAAATTAAGTTTGGCAAAGAGGTTCTTGACCCATCTCCCTTTTGTGTTCATTGATAATGCCAAGAGGTGCTTTATGCAGTTCCTGCAAGGTCTTTTTATAGCCACCCTTGTTCTCTCACATATCCCTATCACTTGTGTGTGACATAAACCCAACACTATCCAGGCTGGTTTGCTGCTCTTTTTTCACAAATGTGCACGT